GCTGAAGCAATTATTGGACTCTGCTGAACAAAACAGTCTCTGGACCCAACAGTTCCTCTCTCAAAGAGAAACCCGGAGTCCTTCAAGGTATTCCTCAGAAATATCTAAGACTCATAACTCATCAGTCCGTTTGCTAACTGAACTGTCATCCCTGCAGACTCCAGTGAACCTGCCCCCTGACCAGTTCCAGTCCCAGTGCAATATTCATGTGCTTGTGTTTCAATAAACCTTGTTTAACTTTTCATCCAGCCTCCGTGTGTGTTCTGCATATTGGGCTTACTCTGTAACCAATCATTGCATTTTAAAACTCATTTCTCCTAATGTGTCAAGACTAAAGTGCATTTTGGAGGTTTTTTATGTTAACATTTTTTCCTTCCACTTTGGAAATCATGCACAACATTTAGATGTATGAAATCCATCCTTATTCTGCTAACATTTGTCGATCTAATGAGACAAATAATAATAATTGAACTTTAATTATCTCACACTGGAGAAATTAACCTCTACATTTAAGAGATCCCCTTGGGGAGCAGAGGGCTGCCATCGTGGGTTACCCAGGGAGCAGTGTGGGGTTAAGGGTCTTTGCTTAGGGACCCAGAGTGGCAGTCTGTGGGAGTGGGGCTTGAACTCAGAACCTCAGGATTCCAAGCTCTATGCCTTAACCACTAGCCTGCCACTCCGAGCAAATGGTAGTATAATTCAAGGAGGACGACATTTTATGCACTACACCGCTTCTTTTCATAAGGTGGGCAGGGGTATTGGGATCCTAAAGTCTAGAAATTGACTAAGGAAACCACATTTTACCTGCTGAACAGGTCGCAGAAAAAAAGAGATTGACAGGAAGGTTTTACCTGTATGATAATAGCTGCATGTTCTTCAGCAGAGGTGCTTCTGTTAGCAATGGAAAGCTTATTTTCTCCCTCTGAGTCTGCGATTAACGAGGCCTTAGCACGTCTGCATTTCTGCTTGTACTTTCTCCACATCCTCTGGAGCACGATGGCTGCTGTGCTGCACAATTAACAACACATAAAAATACACAAAGTAAGTAAAATCGCTGTGACCATCTTTCAAAACAGATTGTTTTTTGCAAGCGGACATATGGAGTCTAGGACTCTAGAGAGATTATCTGTGTTCAGAGCCAACCATCACATTAAAGATCTACTGCCCTCGCTAAGATAGCAGAGTGTTAATGATAAGGCGCTGTGTTACAATGAAGGAGATCTTCAACATCTCTCGTTGTAAATCAAACAGAGGAGGCTCCAATGATGACAAATGGCCTCCAGAAGAAACTAATAAAAAGGCTCAACTGCCATGGACCAAATGATATAAAATGTGGAGTGTTTTCTTTTTTCCAGCTGTTTTGTACCATAAAAGTTTATCAGAAATGTAAAAGAATATGAACACCCTGCAACAGCCTGTGAGGTTTTGTTAACAGGTCTGAACATAAGGATATTTATATACACTTTTAAGTAATACTATAAAAAATAATGAAATGTAAATCATTTTTATTAATTATTTTAAGAATAAACACTCGATTTTAACAGTAAAACATCAATATTTCGAGGCTATTATAGCTTGGCCATTTCATGGAACCGATGTAATGTCCACTTTTCTACATAGGTTAGCTGACTTTCGGTGAACTGTTTACAAATCCCAGCAGCAGACGTAAACTTTTAATGAATTACTTTTTAATGTGCAACTTGTCCAATTCTTCGTCCAAACTGTTGGAGGTTTGTTCTTCTTTCGAAGACGGAAAGAGAGTAAAACCTTTGGTGAAGTTTGACCTCTGACCAGTTTTAACACCTCCAAATGTTTCTTGTTGGCTGTTTTCATTTGGTTTGTCCTCAGAGTGATAGTGAATATGTCCGTCCTTCTCCCTGCTCGGGTTGTCTGGAGGTCTCCTGAAAGCTGACTCAGTTTTCGGGGAATCTGTGAGCTTTCCTAAACTTCTACTCATGTGCAGTGTTTTTTCAGACATTGTTTGGCCCTCATCCATGTGTTCCGCAGACATAGCAGTGACATCATGTTCATGGGCGAATCTCTGATCCTCAGCGAGTTGCAAAGCCAGAGTAAAGTAATGGCAGCAGCTCTTCACAGCATCCAGAGACAATGAGGCATTTCTGTGTAAACAAAAAACAAGGACAAACATTTTATTAAACACAAAATGTTTCCCATTATTGCAATCGAATCAACCCTTTTCCATTTTGACTGAAATTATGACACATTTCCTTTGTTCTCCTGAATTTATTTGTCAATTATCGTCTTGATGACTATGTTCACCCACATATGGCCACCAGTCAGGGCTCTCTATCCCGTTTCCATCTGGTTAAGCTGACCTTGAGCAAGCTTAAAGTACTTCACTTGCTTCTGGATCGACCTGGATGGAAGCTTTACTAATGTGTAACACCCTCTGAACCAAACCAGACTGTCAAAAATAATAAACCGCTGTAATCCACACAGTAAACCTCATTTGCGACTAACCAAAAAATGCCACCTTTTGGAGGCTGGAGCCAGGTTCATAGAGCAGAGACTAGGCTATTGGCTTTGACCTACCTAACCTACACCACAAACCAGCTACCAAAAATGAAAAACAACAACTAAGGAAAATTACCTCACCTGGAAAAACAAATATGCTTCTAGACTTTTTTAGGTTCTCATTAGACTCCGGGACTCTCTGTTAGATAATCATACAACGCAGCTCACTTGATGATTGGCCACTCTTGGGTTGTTTTTCCATCATACAGACACTCGTTGCTGACTGCAGCTAATTTTTTTGTCATATCTGGCCTTAACTTTTTGTTGAAGGTTTTCTTGGTAATCCTCTATAACTAAGCAGGAAATGTAATAACAGTGTTTCAATCCAAACATGAAAGTACTGCGTATTTACAAAAAGCATTTCACATTTTGTAATTGGTTGTAATCCCACCTGCTCAATGTTTCCTCCATTGCACCAGGCAGGTTAATGCTAATTGGTGGCACAGAACAAACTTTTTACATTTCAGATCTGTGTAAACTGAAATTCAGCAGAGGAATTCATTCGCTTTTCACTCTGTTCATCTTCACAGTTTTCTTCATGCCAAACTTCACCTAATTTATTACATGTTATTTTATTACTGTAATTCAGGGACGTCAAAGGACTTGTCAACTTGCATGAGTCCCTTTTGTATAGAGTGAATTTTGATCCATTGTTGGTGCAAACAAAAAATACAATTTGTAAATCGAACTTTGAAACAAAGTTTGAAACAAAAAAAAAAAAAAAAAACAGCTTGGAAGTAACATGTTAACCAAATAAAGTTTTAAAAAGTGTAACCTTATTGTTTTCTCAGAATTTGTTTGTTGAAATATTTTTTTCATATCAAATTTATCTTTTATATTTTACTTTTTCAAATTTTACTTACAAAGTTTAAAAAAATATATTGATTTCATTCTGTATAAAGATTTAATTCTTTATAAATTGGCTTTCCTCCAGTGTGAGGAGCAATGTGAGCGTCGAGAGCGAGCATTTGTATTGGGTTTGAAGTTGAGAGAATGCGATTTGTAAAATGCAATTTGTTAGGCTCAATCGGAAAAAAAGAAATACAAAACAGTTTGAAAATATAACACCCGTAAAAAAAGAATAAAAAAATATAAATATATGAAAAAATAAACTGAAAAAAAGTCTGAGAACAGCAAAGTTACTCTCAAAAAATTTTATGATTAAAAAAAAGTTTCATCCCTCACTAAAAAAAATAATGCAACCGCTTTTGGCATTTATTTAATCATATTTAGTTGCTTTAACACAATTTTTTCAGTGTCCTACCCTGCTAACATAAAACAATTGTGTTAAAATAACTAAATATGATTAAGTAAATGCCAAAAACAGTTGCATTATTTTTTTTTTGTGCTGGATTGCTTTTTCGTTTTTAATTTCCATTTACAAATTGTGTTATTTGATTGGTACAATAATGGAACAGAATTCTCTCCATACTATTGAAAATGCGTGACTGAAGGGATAAATCCACTACAATGCCTCCTCAATTGAAACTTAATGAATCTATTAGCAATGCTTTCCTCTGTTCCTCTGCTCCCCTCCCGTGACTTCCACCCTGAGGGGGGGCAGAAACACACTCAGTCTGTCTGGAGAGGCCGGTAGTCTTAAGGCCAATAGCTTCTCCTCCACAAAGGTTCAGCTCTTCATTCTCATTTGGATCAGTGAGAATAGGGTCAGGGGGGTGGTGGAAGACTGTGACCCCCATGACCCCTTCCCCTTGTACCTGCTGGTTCACTCCAAGGTCACAATAAACACGCGCAGCATGGATATAAGAAAGCAGAAAACTGATATATATTAAAGAATTTGTCCTGTTATCGTTTGGCTAAACAAAAATCCTTACCTTCCTTCCAAAATAATTATGAATTGTGTTTTTTTACCACTTTTAAGCTTAACAAGCTCAACTTGTTTTATATAGATTCTATGTTTAGGAACAACAAAAAAATATGGGAAGGAAATCCAGGGCAATCAAATATGTTGGATTTCTCAAATTGGAGGAGTCACAACGTTTTGCCGAGCAGAAGACACCACACACAGCAGGATTATCTCTCTGATTATCTGTCCAGAGGCTCCTGATATCCATGGCTCTTTGAAGGAGAAGATTGTTCAGGAATCATCACATCCACCCTTAAAGGTACATAGTCACACTTTTTTCATTTTTTTAAATTCATACTCTCTTTTATGACAAATTTTTGCATTCTTTAATGCTTTGTTTTGCTCTGTTTGTTATTAAATAAAGCCTTTCTGCATATATTTACTATAAATAATGAAAAGAAAAGTCCAAGATCAAGTGTAAAACAAGAAAGAAGAGGTTTGAATCCAAGAGTGATAAAACTGGAGTTTCTCTAGGAAAACAGTCTGACTGTTGGAGTTCACTAAAGCTGGAGTTAAAGCTCAGGAGGCATTCTAATAAATATTGCTGTGAAGTTGAGAGACACATGAGTACATGTCCTAGCTAATAGTGCTACTGGTGTTAGCAATGCTTTAAAGCCCTATTCCGTAAAAGTTCAAAAAAATCCACTGGACTTGGTTTCCAAGATTTGAAGACGTTTCTCCACCTCTCCAGGAAGCTTTCTCAATTCAAATGTCTGGATCCGCAGTGAGTTTGAGTCTTATATAGACAAAGCCTGGTATTGCTTGTAAACATGCAAATGGAAACCGATGAATGGGTCGTTTGGTTCCATTGTTAGCCTGTAATATCTGAAACCTGTCTATGATTCTGAAGGTCGGTCGTTAAAGGGGGGGGATTGTTGTTAAATGGATTGTCTCCAGTAATACCTGAAACCTGTCTATGATTGTTAAGGGTCGGTCATTCAGGAGGTATAGTTCACCGGCTGAAGCGGGTAGGTTTAAAGCTCTATATTCTGAGCTGCAGGTTTTCTGCGAGGCATTACAGCACTGTCAGGACTCATTTAGTAGCTGCATCCAAGGGCAGCAAGTGGGATTCTGGTAGTTCAGTGGTACTGCCAGTAGATGGCGCCACATCTGATTATGTCTGCTCATTGCATCTGGTGCTATGGTTCTATTTAGGCTCAAATATGACAATCAGTACACTATCAGGGTGCATGCTTGGAGTATAGAGCCTTATAGGCATATAACATGACTATAGACAGAATGCTTTGGCCTTCAAGCAAAAGATCATTTATTCTGGGAACCGTTATATCTTTAAATATCTGTTCTAGCAAATAAATCACAGAATTAAATGAACTAAATAAACTTTATTATTTTTACCTTTCTCTGGTTCAGTTTAGGTCAGAAGTTGGTTGCTGCTTGTCGGTTAAACTTGGGTATTTGGTGATTTACTTAAAAAGCACCACTTTCACAACAGTACTTTACGGTAAACCTGAAGGACACACAGAACTGTTGCACTCAATCTCAATCTGCACAAACAATCGGCGTGACCTGAATGATTCAATGAAGAAATCCCGATTCTAGATCCAATAAACTCAAGAGAACTGTCATTGCCATCTTTGCAGGTTTATTCATGTAAATCCCACAGATTAGGTAGTGATTATAGGTTTTAGTTGAACGTTAAAAGGTAATACTTCTATCCACACAGTTTCGCTTGTGGATTACAGAAAAATTGCGTCTCAGCTATATCAGCTGTGAAGATACAGTTATTTATTAGAAACAAACACCCAGTGTTTACCTGGCCGTGGCAATGCAAGCTGTACATGATAAATTTAAAAGGTTTCCTAGCCTCCAGTCCATCAATGAGATGGCGTGTGGCACCCCTCTCACCTCCCCTAAACTTCAGTCTGACAAGAGGTCAGGCCAGGGGTTAAATGGCTGTGTCGGCTCATGCAAAGCCTCCCCCCAAAATGGCCCATTGTTCAGAGGCCAGAGGGGTAGAGGGTACCCAGCGAGGGGTGAAACTAGGAGAGCGCCACTCTACCCCCCCAGGGCCATAGGAGTCCTCGGTATGACCCGTTCCAGTGGCTGCCGCCACGTTTCATCTTTTGTGCAGCGTAATTCGGAAAGGTCAGAACGATAAGCAGGAAGCTGACCAGCGCTTTAAGTGCTGGTGGTCCTCCTTGCATAGGAGTGCATACACGTGTGCAGGGTTCAGTGACACTAAGGACTTGTGAAAATAGATGGATGTTGTGTATCAGACAAAACAAGGGAATAGCAAGCATTCCTCTCTGCTTGATGTCAGGCGGGGTGATTGGCTCAAGATAATAGAAAGTGTCACACAAACGCCTGTCAACAGACAAGAAAACCTTTATCCTGTTCTCGATATCTTCTGGTTGTTGGCCTTTTAATTTTGATTTTGCATGTGATAAATCAAACAGACAGTTCTGGCTGATAAAGCTCCTTTAATCAGAGATCAAGGCTATTTATTTGTGAAGAAAATTGACAGGTCAGAATAAACTGGCTTATTCCTCTTGCCAATCCCTCTTGTCATTCAGTACATGGAGAGAATTATAGTTCAATATTTTGGATCAAAAAACATTTTCTGTAGATAGAAAAAGGGGGGAAAAAATCAATTGAAATAAAAAAATTGCAAACCAGAAATGAAACCTTGAAAAATGTTCTAATCAAAAAGGTTTTGAGAGTAACTTTGCTGTTTTCTCAGATAATGTTTAGTCTCTTTTTGTTTAAAGTATGTTTTCTGAAATTTATTTTTTTAAAGTTCATGTTATATTAAAGTTATGTCTTACATTTTAAAATTTATTTTTTATTTTTATAGATATTATGTTTTAACTCTTTTCTATTTCTTTTTCAGACTGAGCTTCAGAAAAAGTGAGAGATTGGTGAAGAGATAATTTTTAGAATTTAAAAACAGATCCATGTTTTTCCATCATATTGATCCTGATCACAGTTCCAGATGAGCCATAGTGATCTCCTGTTTCCTGCACCGTCTGCTTTGCATCGGACTGGAACAGCGTTTAGTATCTGAGTCCCTCTGAGGGAGCGAGCTTCATTTAATCATTCAGCACAGTCTGTGCAGCCCCTACAAATGCTACATTTGACCATTTTTATGAGCAATACATTTATAAGCAATCAAACTTCTACCAAACTCAATTACAATCAAATGACTTGAATTGTTGAAATTTTTTAGAGGGGCTGCTAAGAAATGTCACTTTTATAGGTAATTTAACTTCATTATGGCAGCTACATTTTAACCCCTTAGGAAAATTTTCCCATATGATCCATTAGACAACATTTAATTTGTATTTGACAAAACATTAACCTGTAATTTGCTATTTAAATGCGTTTTTATTTTCTTTTTTAAAATGCTGCTGTTACTTCCTTTTACGGAGAAGACTGACCTATGCAAAGGCTTAGAACAGGTCCTCAGTTCCGATCCTCAGGGTCTGTGTCCTGCACCTTGTAGATGTGTCTCTGCTTCCACACCTTAATCAATAAGGTAAATAACCTCCTCAGTCAGAGTCAGGGGGTGTGTTTGATTTCTGCTGCATCTTCCAAGGACCCGTTCTACCTGGACCGGGTCCTTCGAGGTCCGTGGAAATAAGGAGGACGGAAAAGTTTTGGCTTTGGATTCAAACAGGTCCAGCGTTCTTTGGCTTTCACTGGCAAAGAATGAATGCCAAACTTCTCCCTACTGTTCTGGGTGGTAATAAGAGTTTAGAAGAGTTTCAGCAGCAGTACTGTTGTCGTGAATATCAGATTTATTGTAACGAACAGGGATTGGACCCAGAACTCAAACCTGCACAGGTCAGTGACGTTTGAAACAAGCTTTATTAAAAAACACTCAAAAGCGGGGGTTCGGGGGCGGGCTGCTCACTCTTAAGCAGGAAACCTGGCAAAGACAGCAGGTTAATGATCAGCGGAAAGTAACGGGCAAGAGTGAGAGAAGCTTTATCACTGATTGCAGGGCTACTGAGCCTGGGGAACCGACTACATGTTGGAGAACACATCCGGTACTGGGATCCAACTAAGTCCGTGCTTTGGGGGTTAACTGCTGGTGCGGCCAACAGGCAGGCAGGCACTCCTTCAGGGTTATCCAGGGGCGTTATCCAGAGGGGACCACGGTCCATACACAGAGAGGCAGATATCCAGGGGCAGTACAGGTAGGGTTATCCAAGAGAGGAGGTCCAGGTCCGGTCCAGATCTGATAACGGGCAGGCTTAGAGATTTCACAAGGGTTAGGGGGGAATCTGGTATCACAAGCAGGCAGGGTCAGTTAAACAGGAAGGCAACACTGGGTCAGCCTGGTAGGCAGGTCCAAGGACAGAATCGGGTCAGGCAACAGACAGGCAATCAGAATTGGAAGTGCTGGAATCCTTGTGCGGGTGGCTTGAGACAATCTGGAACTGGCAGCTGATCTGCACAGAGTTTATATGAGGTAAAAACAGGTGGAACCAGTAAGAGCTGGTTGCAGTAGAGCAGGTGTGACGAAATGTGGATCAGACCAGCAACAGAGCCGAGACTGTCATATTTATAGTCCCCGCACAGCAGAGATATTGGATTTTGACCTTAAATGTAAGCCATACCCATTTGCACAGGGACAGATAAAAACCTTTCAATAAACCAAAGATTAACCCCCAGATATCTGACTCACTAACCCTTTAAGATAACTCTTTTCATTAATTTGAGAAAGAACTATTTACATACTTGTATTATAGGCAACGTATGATACACCGGACCCGTCCTTCAAGACGGGCAAAAAAGAAGGCTCAATTTGTCGGCCGCATAACGAGGAGTCTTCAATCTGAAAAGGCCACGGCGCCACGCTATGATGTAATCAGACGACGAATCTGCCGTTTAGAGGACACAGCCCCTGAATTTGAACTAAGCATGATTCTGCAGAGTCCTTCTAATGACCCGATTATTTGACTCAGTTGTGTTGAAGCAGAGACACAACCGGCCTCTAGGAATGGAACTGAGGAACCCTGGCCTAGAAAGTGGTATCTAGGGTTAGAGATCCCACTTTTCTTTAGCTAGCAGCTGTAATCTGACAAACCAGCACTATCCTGTTGGAAATAGAGCATTTCTGCTGTTCTCAATGAAACATTTAGTTAGAAATCCCAGCATGAAAATACCAAAATAACTGAAAAAGAGGTGATACCATCACATGGACTGTGTCATTCTCGTGTTAAACGATTTCTCCTGCTCTTACCCGACTTTCCTGCTGAGACGCTGTTGTAAATCCCGAGTTTGCTTTAGCTGCTTTTGACAGAGCGTAAGGAAGCTGTGTGGGGCCAAGCTGAGCTGTCGGGAAGCCAGAGGAGAGAGAAAGGAGTCTGTCTGCTGGCTGTCATCAGGCCTTAAGCCAGGCACTGCTTTCTGCAGTTTGGATCTGAAAGAGAAAAGCCCAAAAAATAAAAGCTCAGCTATAGTGTCTGTTCTGATTGAGCTGATTTTAACCTAAAGCAGGAGCTGATATTTTATGTTGGAATGGTCAGATTGTTCAAATAAAGAAAAGGCTTCCTCCAATATTCTATATAAAGCAAGCCAAATGGAACTGCTCTGATGAAGCTTATATGTATTCACATTTTTCTAAGCAAATTTAAGAAAGAAATTCGAGCAAAGGCCTGAATCTATATTGGGACCATAAAGAGCTCAGGGTCTTTGGGAGAGGTAACTACAGCCTCAGGCTAAGGATGTGTAGGCAGAGAAAGTTACTAGAGTCTGCCCCAGAAGCAGAGTCAGAGATCTGCCAAATTTGGTCAGTTGTCAGTGGGAAAATACTGCGCTGAGAACTGAACAGGACACAAGGGGATAGCAACAATAAAACCTGCAAAACAAATGATGAAAATACATGCTTTTTGCCACTGGAAATTTATTTTTGAAATTTCCTGGACTCTTGGTAAAGGCAGAACAAAACACTTCATCTACATTTTAAATGGATATGTAAAAAATCTACTTTATGATTAAATGCAGTTCACTGCTTATTATCTTTTGAATCTGTTATCCTGTATGTTCCTGAAAAGGATTTTTAAAGTGCTGTTTTACAGGTTTTAGTCTAGAATAACTTACCTGCAGCAGAAAATGCTCTGGGTGTCTTCATGCCTATGCTAACAAAATAAAAATGACTTCTACTGTTTTATAACCCTCTCAATCCTAAAACCAACGTAATTTTGGTGGGGATTCCAAGATTTTTATTAAAGTAAACATTTTTTTATTGATTTCTTTCACCATCTCAGTTTTATATCCCTCTTTCACTCTGAAACTTAAAGGGCAACTCACCCAGAAAAAAACTTCTTTTGCTGATAAAATATAGATGTCTTTTAATGCTGTTTGCGGGTTCCTTGTATTAATATTTGTGTCTTAAATCATCAGTCTGGCGCACTCCCCAGGTAATAAAAAGGGAAACTACATCTGATTCTTAGTATGATTTGACAGTTCGTTTCATTCAGTCACATGACAAATAAGCTGTTACAATAAAATGCATTTTTGAAGAGAAACATTTAAATGTTCATGAATTAAGATTTAACAAAAATGAGTGGGCCTCATTGTTATTGACTGAAATATTAATTTGGCATTAATTTTTATGGAGTGAACTTTGTTCCATTATTATTTTGTCTGCACCATCAACACCAAGTCAAATTCCTTGTAATCACAAACCTACTTGGCCATTAACTTGATTCCGATTCTGATATTTGTTGAAATCAAATAAAACTTTTTGTAAATTGAAATTTTAGAGGATATTTGATCCAGAAAAGAAACTTTAATAAAGGTTTACATGATATTTTTTTTCCTATTTGTTTTTTCAAATTGAGTTTTAAAAATTTCAAATGCAAATTGCTTTGCAAATTCTCTTCACTTAAAGCCCAATAAAAATGTTGAAGGAAGACCAATAGAAATGCATCTTCACTCCTCACTAAAGAAGAAAACCCGCTTTGTGAGTAATGAGCTCTTTAAGACGCAATTTGAAAATAATGCAATTTGCTAAACATAATCTGAATGACAGATAATTGAAAAAATAATTTGAGATCATGTAAAATATGTAAAAAAAAAAACTCATTAAAATAATATATGACAGACCAATAATGATAACATCTGAGAAAACAGCAAAGCTATTTTCAATACATTCAAGTTTCATTTCTGGATTGCACTTTTTCATATCTATTTTCAAAATGTTATTTGGTAGAAACAATAATGGAATATAATTCACTCCATAGATGTAGTGCTCTGGAGCAATGTGAGATGTACTTTATCATTTTTCATGTTTTTCAGTACAGGTTTCCTACTGGACAATTAGTGATGGTGCATTTTGTCATGCATCTGATTCCCATTCAAATAATATTGGGCTGCACATGTTTATAAATAAAACCAAGTAAAATGCTGCCACATTTTTAATTCTGTATTTATTTTAAAATGGTAGATGTTTACTTTCATCTCAGTCCCTCTCAGAGTAGCCGTTAGCATTAGCCTCCAGGTCCTACTAATCAGGATGCAGCAAACAATGCTACCAAAATAGGGTGAAAAAAATGTTTATTTATACCAACTAATTATTTCTATAGGTTTATATAAAAATGCTTTAATTTGATCAATAACTTTTTTAATGAAATAAATCAGATGTCAAGGAAAGTATCTTTGACTGCATTTTATTTAGAACTAAATTAAAACGCGACATACGGGCAATGTTTGTTACGTTTCTCAATAAATAAAGGATAAATCTTTATTCGTATGACTCTTTTCTCTCAATTGCCAAGAAACCTTTTTAATGTTTCCACCAGTATATAAAAAAAAAACATTCTTTGTTGATGACCTTCGACTCTTTCCATCTTCCTAATCTTTAGTTTGTTCATTTCTTGGGTTTAACAGCTTATAGTTAAATCGATGGTTCGATTTCTATTCCTGCAATCAAACAACATCCATCTGTGCTCGGTAAATCATTAATAAAAATTACATGAGGTAGTCTAAAATAGTTTTCAAGGTTACTAGGAAATAAAAATTGAAGCAAGGTGGATTTTTTTTCTTTTTAGATGCGTTTCAAAGAGCCTTTTCAATAATAATGATGTTAGATTTGACTCCATTAAGTCCGGCTGTGACTGTAGTCATTTTCTAGTATTTGGTTATTAGTGCATTGATTTTTCTTATTACAATGAGAGTAACAGCAGGTTCAATCACTGCTAAATGAACCTGAAGCCATGTCCATTGCATTTATCATTTCAGATTAATGTTCTATTTCTAATATTCTATGTTGAAAAACAGCAGTGGAAGCATTTGCTAAATTATGATTTTTTTTTTATTATAAGATGTTGCACTTTACCTTTATGTTAAATATAGTGGCAAAATTCTCAGTCATTCAAAAAAAGTTTTTTTTTAAAACACTGGACTTAGTTTCCAAGTTTGAAGATGTTTCGCTTTCCATCCAGGAAGCTTTTTCAATTCAAATTGAATTGAAAAAGCTTCAAACTTGGAAACTAAGTCCAGTGGATATTATTTTGAACTTTTTTGAAATGACTTTCTGTTAAAGTTGTAATATTTTTGAGTTACAGGGAAAAATAAGCAGTGTAAACTTGCTGCTTAAAATATTTTGTGCACCATAATTTAAGAGATGTTTAATTATTGAAAATAAGACAACAAAGGTAAACCTCTATTGATTCAATCTGGAGTTTTAGCTGAACTAAAACTGTGAATGTATTTGCCTTTCTTTTTTTTTACTACATATTTGTTTATGCCCATATTTATTTAACTTAAACCCAAGTTCCCTTAAAAGAAACAACAGTAAATAGGAGATTTTCAGTATGCAGGTATTTATTTCACAGTGTCACACTGGTTCCTTTTTTCGCTTAAGATTTACTGAATCGATTTCAAGTCACTGAATCAGATCGGATTGTTCTAAATTAATCAAAATTGTCAAATCGATTTAGGAACCACAAAGCATGACATGAATCTAATCGCTGTTAAAATGAATCATTACACCTCTAGTTATTTCTAATGTTAATGTTACCTCCAGCCAGTAGAAATATGTCAGTGTAAGTCAAAGTTTAAAGCCTAAACCTGTCAAGGAAGTTAATAACTGCGGCCATAACTGTACTGCACTACATGAGATCTTGACATCTTAAGCTTAAGTATAGGCAGTCAGCATGGAGTGTTTTTGAAACCCTCCCACGACTCTGATGGAAAGATGCGACCACAGAAGATGAGGTCTGTGTATTGTCAGGGAGTCTCAGTTTAGATGTGGTCCGCTGGGTCTCTCTTGGCAAAAACGGGGACTGGATTCCAGCCCTGTGGGCATGGAGTCTGGCCCACTGTCGTCAAATCAAGTGAAGTCCAAACCCAAACAGAACCTTTTTTAGTTGTTGCATAACCTCACTGAGTGTGTGTGTGTGTGTGTGTGCGTGTGGGTGTGTGTGTGTGTGTGTGCGGGGGCGGGGTATTGTAACAACAAATATGCACCTCTACTTCCCACTAGTGAAAAACCTGTAGGATCCGTTAAGTTCTCCATATGATGATCATCTTTTTCATTACTTCTGTTTTTTATTCCTGAAATTCAGACTTCAAACATTTTCCAGTGACTGAATAAATTTCACTTCTGAAAATCGTCTGAAATAAATTCATACTAGCGTGTAAAAGCAGATTTGCATTTTGCTTCCATTTCCTCTTTGTCCTGTCCCCAACCCCACATGGAAACCAGGCCCTGTTTGATTCAGTGAAGACTTCCTCCAAAATTGTCCAAGTGGTGCTAATTAATCAGTGTTTTCATCATCTATATCTCCAGTTCCCTGGGCTGCCAATGCGCCTGCCTTTTGTTTCTTTAATTTAACTACTGTTATCTCAGGCCTTGGGTGAAAGGGCCTGGGCTTGGGTGGAGCACTACTCAGGGGTTCTTATAGATCATAGTTAAGGTAAAACAAAGTTCAGTGAAATATTACAGTAGTGTTTAGGTTAGGCATCAAGAAGGGGGAAGTCACTTAAAAAATCCCTGTTTGATCATTACTCTGGTTGAACTATTTTAAAGTTATCTGTATTTAAGGTACAGTAGAGATGTTTACTAGGGATGCAAGTTATCAATTAATGAATTAATCTAGAAAACAAATAAATAAATTTACATAAATATAGCAAACGCATGCAGATTTATTTTATAAAGCCGAAAACATATGAAGGTTAGGACATTAGCATGTGTCTCACACAAAACATATAATAATATATTGGTAAAACTTAGTGGGGTGGGCTGTGCTAATATAGTTGACCTTTATGACTGTGCATTCTCTAAAAGAACCAATAGGGGGAGCCTGAGAGCAGAGGTCACTTAGCTCTGCTTGTTTAGCGTGTTTAGGAACAGGCTAGCTGCACAGAATAGATTACCGTGCTAACTTAAGAGTTATTGCCTTTATGAAACCTGTTATCTGGAAAATCCTGACTTACTCCCTTTTCCTGGTTTTGTGAAATAAGGCCCTGTTTATATGGGCTTGTTTCTCTCCCAATAAAGAGCTCAACAACAACCAAGATTATATTCTTACAATATTCTGATTGTTTCAGACCGAACTGAAAAAAACATTTCAAGTAGAAATAATTTTCCTACCAACTCCTTTACAAAATGAGTAAAATATTTAGTAGTTTTATGTTAATATATGAACCAATGAATAATCTGTGATTTATCATTTGAATGTGCTGCAGTGGGGCTGCAGACACTACACAGAGACAGATGTGTGGGGAACCTCTCAATAGTCCAACTGGTTAAACTGGATCAGAGGGTTAATCCCTGGAAGTGAACAGGAGGGCCTATGTTCTCCTGGAATGTCAGCCAAAAGGGGAATGTGAGACAAATATCAGCTTTTAAACAGGACGCTTATTTGAAAATCTGAGAAATGGAAGTTGAAACATTTTTTTTCACACAATTTTATCATTATCTCTATTTTTTGGTTCATCTGAATCTGAAAGCTGCAAACGCTGCAAAGGAAAATGTGACCCAGTATGCAACATAAACAGCTGCTGAGTCTGTGAACTGAGCTCGGCTCCCTGAATGTGTCTTGAATGTCAGCAAGTTACCGTATGTGAAACATTAAACATAAAAAGCATCTCTACCTGTCGCTCCATTAAAACTTCAGCCTACCTCCAATCTCTCTCCTGCTGCAGAGGATTCCCTGTCAGATGGACCTCTTGAAGAAACAGACATCCCTCCACATTTTCACAAACATTTTGCAGCTCTGAGAAAGACACAGAGATTTAAATAAAAAGCTTCTGCTTATCCTTTATGATTTAAATTAGTTTTTTTCAAATACAGTATGGAGAACACATGGAAGGGTCATGGGAATACATATCTGTTACTGTAGACTATTGAAATAGCCACATCAACCACACAACCACATTTAGAGATAGAGACTAAAGGTTGGGTCTGTGCTTGAAAATAACTCATCAAAAAAGAGAAGACATTTCAAATCTCTCCATCAGGGTTTTCCCTATAGAGTCAATTTTGTTCCACTGTTGAGTTAAGAACAAGTTGTTCAAAAGGAAATTTTAAAAACAAAATCATATCCAGAAATCTAACTTTTAAAATCCTCTTATTCGAAGAAAGATTTTGGTGGTTAATGTAGTGGATATGAAAATGTACATTTATTTTGAAAATGTAATTTGACTTTTTCAGTTTCTGAGAAATAAGTCCAGATCATCACTCCTCTACCACCATGCTTAACAGTGGGGAGATGTTAGGTTTTCATCCATCATGACTAGATGGAACTAGATGGAAAAACATGGTATATAAAGCCAGTTGCATCATAATGACATTAATAACTTCAGCATATTAAAAAAATACTCTAAAAGTACTCAATTACACAGATTTAATTTCTTAATGTTTTTATTTATACTCGTAATGAAAAAAATGTTTGATTTTAATGATTTATTATAATTATTATTATATCATATATTTTAACATATAGTTTTTAATTTGTCACATTTATACACTAGCATTGATTGTTTTATGATATGGTCCAGCGAATCCATATTTTGCTATTAAAATGTGAATTTCCCCTATGTTGGATCAGTAAATTATCATCATCAACATCATTATAATCTAAAGATAAAATGTAAACATTAAACCTTCAGTCTAAACAAGCTCATACTTTAACTACAGCTCTCTCTGGAGTCGCTGAAGCTTTTATCCTTTCATTGTCTCCTCAGCAAAGCAGACTATTGAAGTGAAAAAAATAAATATGTATGATTCTCAAAATATCTTCCAATAAAACCTGTGGCATGCGTATGTATTCAGCCACCTAATAAAATCCCAATTACCTGTGCAACCCCTAAATCAGTAAATATTATCCTTGTGTGGAATTTAATCCCGGTATAAATCCAGCTGTTGTCTGAAGGCCTCAAACGTTTGCTTGAGAACATTATTGAACCAATATCACAGCAAATCCTCCACAGATTATGTCATGATGGTAAAGTTACGAGTAAATTGGCCGTCCAACCAAAAGGAGAGGCTGGACACTGAGCATGACACTAAGGCGCAAATCCATGGTTTAAGCAGTTTTTCTTCTTCAGCAGCACAGAATTAGACTCTGAAATCCTTTATTTAATGCAATGGGGAAAACAAAAAAGCTGATGAAGAGCTGCAGAAATCCACCGCTAATAAAACAACCAAAACTCATTCATCTAACAGTAGCAGCTTTAATAAAAGAACAGATCTATCTATCTGTCTGTCTGTCTGTCTACTAAACTAAAAAAGGAAAAGGTTTTACCTGCCAGGCAGTTGAAGCTCAGATCCAGATTTTTCAGAGATACCAAGTCAATCATGGAGGGCAGCTGGGTTATCCTTCCACACAACGAGAACAATGGTTTCATTAATCTACAGTATTTATCTTTAAAGAGCTTCACATGAACTATTGAAATCATAAAGGAAAAAGTAGCAGATAGATGAAGACCTGTTTTGTGAGACAGCAAGATGTTCCAGAAGGGGAAGCCAGCAGGCGGCGAGGCCTTGCAGAGAGGAGACGTTGTTATCGTCCAACAGCAGCTCTCTAAGTAGAACTTGATTGTTAAGACTGGGGGCCTGATAGAGAAACAAGCTGTCAATTCACACCAGCCGCACTGCAAGGTTAGACTAACTTTGCTCTGCTGCTACTGCTGGTGGAGCAGCAGCTGAGCTGACCCCATCTATCACTGTCAGCTGCTTCGGTGCGGTTACTGCCATCAGCACCGGCTGCTGGTCAGGCTCTCTGGGATCAGGGTTGTCTTTTAGCATGCTAGGAGAGCAGAGGAAATCTTTAAGCTTGCCTGTTTAGAATATATATATATATATTTTTACTGCCTTGGATTTAATCTCATTTACAGAGATAAGTGATTATTTTGATGAAGAAAAGAAGCAGGATGTCGCCATCTAGAGAGGAATAAGAACAAAAACAAACAAAAAACAGCCCAGATAATTATTTTCTCAGGACTAAGTCTGTGTATAAAATGTAAAAATCTCGCTGTACATCCAGCTGCCTAATCACACTAACGTTAGTGCTATACCGGCCTCTCTTCATTTACTGATAGATTAAAGGAGTATTTCTGTGTGAAGATCATAAGAACACGGATAATCAGGTTTGTTGAGGAGAGACCAGAGAATCATGTTTGAAATCTTTCCCTTTAAAAACTGAAGAACCAGTGTCTTTATAAACCGCATTATGTCTTTTGTTGCCACTTCTTTATCTATACATAATCATTTCTTATCTTTTATTATTTTTTATGTTGTATCACTTTTATTCAGACAACATTTAGCTTTATTGCACATTTTAAAACTTTTTAAACTGTCTGAATTACTGCATAAAAAAAAAAAAAAAAAAACAGGGAGAAAATGTACTTGCTTGTTTGAGTGACTGTTTAAAAACTGGAACAGAGAACATTGTTCCTCTAATCAACCAGCAGATATGAACTTCCAGCTTGGCCATCAAGCCAGATTTAAGGTAGATGTTGTTTTGTTTTCAATCAGTATCTTTTGAAAGGCATTAAGAACTAAATTATCCAACACAGCTTTTATGTTGTAACATATATCTCAAAACTACGCAGCTTTTGATTCTTTTATTCATCCATTAATTATATTTTTGAGTATATTTTCAGTAAGTTAACACTTCTAAATAAATAGAACAGAATTTAGAGGAAAAATATTGCAATTTTTTAATGCTGTAAATAGCAAAATAGGTAATAATGCAATAACCAAATTAGTAGAGGATTATTTTAATAATCGGTTTGTCAGGATTAATCTGAACATCCTTTTAGCCCTAATCTAAACTTAGAATGTTGACACCAAAGAGGACGTAAATTTCTGTGTTTGCTTCCTATCTTCTGTGTATTTAATGACAAAGGAAACTCTGATTGCCTTCAGTTTGACCAATATTTAGCAGAACGCACATCATTACCATTTTAATGTCTTTGCATTTTGTTTTTGAATTACCTTTAAATTATATTTTCATTTGTTTTCATTGTCACCTTCCCTTCTGTATAACTGAACAGTTAAAGGTTAATCACTTCAACTTAAGCCAACGGTCTTTTGTTTTTAAAATCTTCTCATAATCCACTGAACCGGGTAAAAAACCTCCAGCTGATCACTTTTTCCAGACTGTTTCATCTTGACTGCTAAAAGATCTTCTTTTTTTCAGTGTTGTTTTAGGGAATCTTGACTCTTTTAAAAAGCAGCTGAAGACATTCTAACACAAATAGGATTTTCTTTGTCATATTTCTAAATAATTAATTTGTTTTGTTACATGTTTGACATATAAACCCAACACTGAATGGTGGCATAAAAGCACTCGCTTTAAGTAGGGTTTGTTTTGTTTTGTTTTTTTACATCTGCAGGGTTTTTGTTTTTTGTTTTTACCTCAGTAAGGTTGTTGGATCTTAGATCCAGAGTATGTAGAAGAGCACTGTTCTCCAGACCCTCAACCTTTGTCAGATGGTTGTGAGAGCAGTCCAGGTGGAGCAGAGTGTAAACCTCCCTCAGCCCTTTGGTGCTAATCAGCTGGTTGTGATCCACAGAGAGCCTCTGCAGTCGCCTTGCAGACTCCAGACCAGCTAGAAACAGCAAAGAATATTAGACACAAAAAGTAGCAAACAGTAACAAACAGCTGCACATCTGCAGGGCCACAAAGAGTTCATAGTTCAGTTTACAGAAGGGAAATGCTGCCCTCTTGTGGAGATTTGAAGACAATCGTGTTTCTTGCTCTGTGGTTCTCACCAATGCGAGTGATTGAGTTATGAGAAAGGTCAAGAAAGTCCAAACTATCAGCGCCTCTTAAACCGTGGATGGACGTCAGCTTGTTATGAGCGAGTCGAAGAATCCTCAAACTGCTCATATTTTCGCAATCCAGAAACGATATGTCGTTTTCCTGAAACAATGAATGGAAACCCTCAGTTATCCCCCTCCCAAAAAATCCCAGATTTACGTTTAAACATCTAGATTCAATGTTTACCCTCAAATCAATGTAGCAGAGCTGCTGCAACTGGCTGATGCCTTCCAGAGACTGGAGGCCACAGTGTCTGAGGGTGAGGGACTGCAGTCGATTACACTGGGCGATGGTGGACAGGCTGCAGGCCGGCAGGTCTTCTAATGTGGCCGTGGTGACCTGATAGGGAGGATGAGAGGTTACAGCTAACATTAAGTCTTTCATTTCATGTCAGTTTATTGGACAAATATGAAACACAGAATATTATCTGTCAAACTGTCATTTTTAGGATAAACAAGGTCAATCAAATTGGTTTTAATCCAAAGATTTGAAATTATTGAATAAACAGCCCAGGGGAAGAAGGCTGATGGGATAGTTTATTAGACAGGGATAAACATTTTCCATTTTTTGCAAGAAAAAAACTGTTTTCTCAGATTTAATTTTTTCAAATTTTATATTGTTGTTTTTTATTTTAGATTTTCTTTTTGGTTTTTATTTGTTTTTTTAAACTTTATTTTTTCACATTTCATTTTTACAGATTTAAATTTTCAAATGTATTTATTTTTAGATTTTCTAGGATAATTCCCATCTCCACACCTGTAAAGTGCGATTTGAATAGAATGCAATTAATACAATTAAATCTGAAAAAAATATAATGTGAAAGAATGTAAAATCTCCCAAAAAATAGAAAAATATTTGGAGCTTTAACCAAACATCTTTTTTGCTTGTAACAATAATGGAACAAAATTCCCTTCATAACCTTCCAATAAAACTAAGTCAAAGAATTCTTCACAAAGAAGCTGGTGAGAAAACGTCAAATTAAGTTTCCAGAGTCAGTGAAGAGTCGGGGAGCCATGCCATGAGCTGAAGTTGGTCCACTGAGTTCTATGAAGCCCACAGGTTTACATGCCTTCTTCAGCTTACGAGCTATATGAGGATGCTGACTTCATTCTGCACCAATACGCTGTAACAGTAACTCACTCACTTGAACCCTGTGGAGAATTCATAGGTACTACCAAGTGGGAGATGAGAGAAACAAGAAGAAAGAATCCACGGCAGCCATTTTTTAAGCAACATCTCAGTAGAACCAAATGCAAGATCCTCACTTCTAACTCAATTCGTGGAAAGACATTGACTGTTTTATGAATTCACAGGATACTTTGTGTATTAAAGTATTTTCTAATGTTCTGCACTGCAAAAAATCTAAATCTAGATAAGTAATTTTTTCTTAAAATAAGTGCATTCGTTCTTGAATTGAGGAGGTAAAAGAGACATTTTGCCAATGGAACAAGACAATTTACACTTAAAATAAGAAAACACAATTGCATTGTCTTATTTCAAGTGCATATTATCTAATTATCTTATTTTAAGAGTAAAATTGCTCATTCCATTGGCAAACTATCTCATTTACCTACTCAAATTAAGGGTGAATACACTTAATTTAAGAATTTTTTACTTATTTCTAGATCGTTATTGCAGTGTGAATCCATATCTTTGTTCTTAACTGTCTAAAAACAGATGTTAAAGGTATAGAGGAGGATCTTCTATTTCCGGTGGATCATCTAAATAAGTGGTCCTCCTAATTGTCAATCTTTCTGGTTATATGTTTACGTAAGGCCGTCCTATGTGCTCGTCTCGTTAGCTATATTTTTCTGCGCATGCACACTTTCAGGCCACATATCTGTGGTGAGCTACGGTTTCAGACATCGAAGCTTACCTTTCTCACCGCGGTTCTTTGAAAATGGCCGAGGGTCTGCGAAGTGTATGAGAAGAAAAAAAAGGCCTCAGAAGAGGCACATATATTCTAGAATGCTTTGCGCAGAGAGCTCTCCTCGTAAAGCATTATGGGGTTTGCTGTCACAGTGGCCCACTGTTGCATTGGCTGTTGCTACACCACAGAAGGAACTAATAACAAAGATGGCACAGCACAGTGAAGGAGGAGTTACGTGACCGACGGGGAGCAAATAGCAGTAATCCTCTGTCCAAACGGTCAGTTAATCGAATTTGCTATAAAGTTTACTATATAGTCCCTGCTCTAAATAGCGATTAAGGGATTTAGGGGTTAGGGCGAACATTTGGACACATTAAGCTTGTATGAGCTATGAGAACAGAAACTTTTGTATAGAGCATGCTTGAGGAGAAATGGGCTTGTGCACGCTCTTGCACAAGCCCCTCTGTATCTGCTCTCTTGAGCAGATACAGAGGGCTATTTTTTTTAAAGTGGAGAGGACAGGTCTTTTTAAAAAATTAGCAAAAATCCTCCACTATAACTTTAAGTTTTCATTTGCTGTGAGCCATAATGACCAAAAAACCACAGAAATAAAGTGTGCATCAATATGTCAGCGTCATCGTTACCTCCTGCAGGGATCTTCTGCCTGTGGACTCCAGCAGAGTCTTTGGGTAAAGAGGGGGCAGACTGCTAACGCCAGCTGCCCTCCTGGGCCTCCTCTGGCTCTGGACGCAACCCTTCTGCTTCTTCTTGTTCTGGAGGGACAGTTTGGACCAGGGCGTGCAGTATTCCTTCCAATACAACATCTTCTGCTCCGTGTGCTCATGAAGGGACGCAGGAATGGGGGTGGACTGCTTTGACTCTGAATCCAGTGCGTTTGTGGAGGTGTCAGCCATGTTTCTTCCTGGACGATGATGCTGTGAAGTCTCACAGATGCTGAGGCTTGTTGTGGCCTCAATGAGGGATGGAACGGACACCAAGGGGGTCCGATACTCAGTTTTGTCTGAGTTCTGTGGAGACTCTGCACTGTCATTTTCTTTCTTCTTCTTGTTCGGATCATTCCGGTCTATCAGCTTAACCAGTTTTTTTGCTTCTTTCTTTCCCTTCATGGCTCCTCTACCTTCTTCTTCTTCTCCCTTTTCTAGAACTTCTATCTGTTCTTCTTTGTCAGCTTTCATTTCATCATCTTCTGCTCCATTTGTCCCACTGTCTTTTGTTTGGCATCCCAGATCCTTTAACTCTTCTTGCCTCTCATCATTGTCTGTTTTCCCTAAATGTTCTGTTTCTCTCTGCTCTCTTTCATATTTTATACTTCCTTTCCGTTCTTCCTTAACTGTCTTTTCATCCTCTGCATTTCTTTCATTTTCTTCTTTTTCTTGTATAACTGTCTCTGATTCCCTCCATCCCTGTCCCTCCATCTCATTGTCTTGTCTTTTCTGATCTCTGGTTCTTAAAAGGCATTTTTTCCCTAAACATAGATCCCCCCTCTTTCCTATCTTTCTCTCCTCTTCCCATTCTTTGTTTTGCATTTCATTCTCTGATGTCTTCCAGCCTGATTCTTCCCTCCTCACCTCGTTGTAGTTCACTTTAACCTTAATATGGGAACCAATCATTGAATCTTTGTCTCTTTTTGTTTCTTTATCTTCATTCTTCTCCACCACTTTCAGTTCTTCACTTGGCTTTTTGTTCTTTTTTTGTTCTTCACCGCCCATCATCACCATATTTTCGGTTACCATTGACCATCTCTTCTCCTCTCTCCTCTTTGTTTCCTCCTCCTCTCTTTTCACCCCTTCCTTCACTTCCTTCTTTTCCTCCTCTTTCTTTCCTACCAATTCTCTCATTTTGTGTCTTCCAAATTGGACCCATTTATTTTCTCTCACGTCTTCTCTCTCTGTTATTTCATCTTTGTTTTTATCCTTTTCCTCTGCCTCCTTTTCCCTCATTTCTTCTTTTTTATTCTTCTCACTTATCCTTCTCTCTGTCTTCTCCTTTATCTGGCTTTCTTGCTCCATTTTTCTCCTCCTTTTCTCCTCTTCAATCATCACCCTCTCCTGCTCCACTTGCTTTTTAAAGTCACCAATCAGCTCCTGGTAAAGAAGCAGCATTTATTCAATTAGTCATTAGAAGCGAAACAAACATAAAAACAGCTTCCAAAACAGAACGGAAGGTTTCAGTTTTAGAAACTCTGACTTGAGAGACCTAAACAGCCCCATAGATATCGTTGAGTCAAACTACTTCACGAACATCCAGAATATGTATTAGCAATGTTAAAATCGTCAAAAGATCCAGATATTATCATGGGGTTTTTACTTGATTGTTCATTTCTGTGTTATTTTGGTTAAACGTTTTGGATCATTGTCCTTTTCAATGAGCATGTCAGGCTGAAATGGTGCACCTTATGCCAAGGAAAAGTCCAATACATTTAGATTATGATCCACATAATAATTTGGATATGGGAAATTTATCAAGGATTCTTTAACATTATTTTGTGGAACAGACAATTCAGCCCTAAATCAGTGGGTGGCAGCTAGGGGTGTAAATAATAATCGTTTCGTATCGATGCATCGATCCAACAGCCAAAGATCCGATGCATCGACACGTCCGCAAAATAATCGATTCATTTTTTTTTTTTTTT